TAGGTACGCTATTCTGTCACAGTTGGTTGAAACATGTGTTGAGAGTTTGAGAGGAATAAATTAAATGTTGAGAATGACATGAGATTGGCGTTAACAAAAACTCACCCGCGAATTTTGAAACTGGTTAATAACATGCAATTTCAACCATTGCATTAAATTATTAAACAATTTAAAATAAAATTATAGTAAAAAAACTAATTTCGTTGTTTTTTAATTACCTTATTAAAAATGCCTTTTTCAATTGTATCGGGGTCGCGGGACACTTGGCTTTTATAAAAAGGGGTCGCCACCCGAAAAAGGTTGGCAACTGTTGTTCTATAGTGTACCATAATGTATATAGTTAAGTTAGTCTTAATGTTATTGAATAAAAATATAACAAAAGATCAGCATCTCATGATTATTCTACCAACAATATGAAAACCAGACTTTTATTATAATAACAATATTCAATTAATATTCAATATTCAGAAGTGGGAATGCAGATTTTTATAACTTTTAATGTTGCCTTACAAAATTTAAAATAGCATAAGTTTAATTCTGCTCTTTAATTCTGAAATTTTGAATTAGGAAAGTGTGTTTTCTGCTTTTTTTTATTAAAGATATCTATTTAAATTTAAAATATGTATATTAACATTTTATTACATAGCTTATAGTTTAGCATAAGAACTGCACCTAACATTTTTCTAATAAAATAATGAAATGCTAATAATTTACTATTTAAAAGTTTAATAAAAAAACAGAAATTTGAATTAATATTGATTGATGTAAACTTAATATCATCAGATTATTATAAATTATCTATGTTATTTTTTGCTCATTCTTTTCTATTAAATTTTTTTTATGTTGTTTGAATGGAATAACCTATTTAAAAGACGATTAAAATTTAGAGAGCTTATTAACGTATAAACATTGAACTATATACAAAAAACAATATTCTCAAATAAGTGTTATAAACTTTTTTTACATTAATATGAATGTAGATGATAGATGTATCAGACAGTTAAGGTTTCAGCCTACCACTCTGGGTATTCAAGTATAAATCCAGGTGGTTGAAAACCCTCAGAAATTTTTTTGGGAGTAGTCAGTCCTGGATATGTTGGGCCATTATTTTACTACCTGGCTATCTTCATTATGGACATGGCTGAATCCATGATGGATATGATTAAAAAGCTCACTTAGTGCCCACAGGATGGAAAGAATCAAAAATGAAAAAAGTGTGTATGTCATAGTCACATGCTAAAATTTGCCATTTCAAGAACTTATCTGTTTCTTGAAGTGCTAGCATTCTGTATTAGATATTTGCTTCAGAATCTGATTATATAACAATGTTAAATTCATAAATAACTATACTTCTGCATCTATAAGCTGGATTGTTTAATTGACTCACCAAAAACCTTATTTTAACATCAGCAGGAGTTGAATTTTTCATGTGGATGTGGACAAATGTTTTTGATCTAATTGTAGATCTGCTTCAGCTCTTAAACTTTCCATTTTATTTTGGAATTTGAAGAAGAATGATATAAAACTTCAAACTTTTGAATGAATGACGAAGTTCAAAATCATGTTCAATGTTCTTAGTTTAACTATTTACAAATATAAATTGATGTTATATAGATATTTATGAATTTTAACAGATATATAAATTTATGTAGGTTTTACATGTATGTTTTCGTGATTAATGAGATCCATTTTCTTGGTTCCCATTTGGATCATCAAAAAAGTTTACCACACACTTAAAATTTTTCCCTCTTTAAAATTGAGGCATTCTTCTCTCCATCTTGCTTTGTAAATCTCCAGAGTATCCCTTGTTTTAGCATGCTCTGACTGAATGGTGTATCCATTAAGACTTGCTCAGTCAAAGTTTGGTTTTACTCCTGTTTTGGAGTCATATATGGAAAGAACAGTGGTTTGTTTCTTCTTTTTATGTCATATTTGTGTTCTGCAATTTGTTTAGTTGGTGATATGTTGGTGTATCTGATATATACTCCAGCTCAAATCTTTCATCTGGCTCTCTTTGCTCTATGGACATTAAAAACACTTTTTCCAAACCCATAGCAAAAGTTCCTCTTTATATTCTGTCTCCTGAAGTGGATGTATTGAGTAAGCATGGCCTGAGATGTTCATAATGCAGGTTTATTAGAAATACACCTCTACACTCAACTCAATTCAGTATATATAGTTTATTTACAGGAAATTTACACAGCTTATCTGTCACTACAATATACCAAGTGATACATTAACCGCTTCTGACCTGCCCATTTTTTTTAGAA